CAAATATTTGTCACATGGCCAAGAAAAATATCAGACAAACACTAAATAAAACATTTGGAAAGAGCCCAGTGCTCTGCAGAAAAGCAACAAAATATCAACTTTAAAATATGTGAAAATACATTATTATAAAACAAGAAATAAATAATGCTTTAAAAATATAAAATGCTGCAACAGCCACAACTTTGCAAATACAACTGGCATGAAAAACATTGAAATTTCAATTACAGAGGAGTAATGGCTCCTGGACGTGGTATGCATTCTTTAAATTAGTGGATTAGAGGCAGTGGTGGGATTCAAAATATTTTACTACTGGTTCTGTGAGAGTGGCTTGGCATGGCTTTGTGGGCATGTAAATTCTCCATTCCCGCCCCACTCCAGGGGAAGGTTACTGCAAAATCCCCATTTCCTCCCGATCAGCTGGGACTCAGGAGGCAGAGAATAGATGGGGGCGGGGCCAGACAGAGATGGTACTAACCAGTTCTTTGAACTACTCAAAATTTCTGCTACCGGTTTTCCAAAACTGGTCAGAACCTGCTGAATACCACCTCTGATTTGAGGTACCTTGATTAAAAATGGTTGTGGTATGATGCACCCTTTGTGTACTTGAAAGTTATAAATCAACAGGCAGGGTAGTTTTAGTAGCATATAGATGCAGGGATAGCTGTAGCAGTTAGTGTTTGTCTGAAGCCCATCTTAATATTCATTCTGATCTTGGAAAGAAATCCCTAACAATGCCAGGAACAAAAAGTAACCACCAAATGTAGGCCTCAGGAACAGTAACAAAATAAATAAATCTGAATTTGGAGAGTAGTTTTTGAAAAAAAATATACGCACTGGCAAAATTACAATTTTTGCTCCTTGTTCTGCTGCAGTTTTCACCAGTCTACAGGCTCTGTTCAAGTTGTCTGTTTTGACAGCAGACACATGGAGTTGGATGAGTGCTAAACGAAAATCTAAATGTAAAAAAAGGGTAAAGGATCAGCTATGAAGAAAAACAAAAAATCATATCATCAATTTTTAATTAGAAAGATTGTTAAGCACCCAAAAGCCTTAAAGAATTGGGGCCACCAAAGACCATGTTGAACAGGGACTGGAATCTCAATATAACTATGTAGCTAGGTGGCACCAAGATGAAGAAATTGATGTAAAGAAAAAAGAGGTGTTAAGCAGCACTCTTGATTAAAATCACAATTCTTCATCAACCTAATTTCAACAACCAAAGCTTTGATTTCTCTTCCTTATATAAATTGTGTTACAGTTGAATACAAGTTGAACATTAGCAAACTCTATGATGCAGTTGTTAAAAACATGTTAGTGAAAATGTATTGTGTACAGGGTTGAATTGGGCCTTTAAAAATAACAATATTACTATTTTAGGGCTTATAGTATAGGAAATCATGTTATCAATTTTGAGAAATCCTTACAAAAAGGATCTCAATTTATTTGGTAACATGAGCAGAAGTAGCCAGAAGGAATGAAACATCCTGGTATCATTCCATGAGACCATGATCATAAAATGTTTTTCTTGAGTGCACAATGCTATAAAATTATTGTAATTATAAGGTTTCCCAAAATTTCAGATATTTTTTTTAAAAGTTCCAAAACAAGTTCCAAAACTTTTTTGAACTTAGTGGAGCATAATTTACAAAACGTTTACAAAACTGACAGAACACCAAAACTTCCTATCACCAATGTTTTCCTGCACCTCAACCCAATGGTACAAATACAGTTGTGTAGACTTCTTAATATTTTACAACTGGAGTCCAAATGAGCAAACTCAGTAACACATTTAGATTATAACTCATTGCACAGTAACCGAGAGACATTGGTCCAGTTAGAGGATAAGTTAATTTGTGGTATTAAATATTGATATTAAATAGAGATAAGTTCATTTAAAATATTACTGTAAATGAGAGCCAGTTTATTGTAGTGGTTAAGACATCAAGATAGACACCAGGAGATCACCTTAGCCATGAAGCCAACTGAGTGATCTTGGGCCAATCACTTTCTCTCAGTCCTAAGATGACAAACCACTTCTGGAAATAAAACTTTGCCAAGAAAACGCTAGTAACTTGTCCAGGCAGACTTTGAGAATTAGATCTGATTGAATGGAATTTACTAACATAGTTATATAGCTGGGAATTACACATATGAACCACATACATACATATAAACAAACACAATTTCCTCAGGACTTTATTCCATACATTTAAAATATAGACTGATTCATGAAAGTTACTGTGATAATAAACTGATTTCTGTTTTTGCTAAGGGTTCTTTTCTTTATATTAGACACACATTTTGGATAACTTTATACTAGATTTAATTTTGGATAACTTCCACTGAAGTTATTCAAAATTACATTTAAAAAAAAGTACTTAAGGTAAGAGAAAATGTTTTCTTAAACAGAAACAGTACCTTTAAAAAAAATTACTTCCCTCACCAGCAACCCAGACAAATCAAGCCATTGCACGACTACAGCTCCACATCAACCTATATAAAATTGCACTGACAGGTCTCTAAGTTAAGTTTGTTTAAAAATTAGACGCAAAGGAACCCAGCACCTCTGCCAGTCATTTACCCCTTAGCAGGCAGAAGGCAAGCCTCAGGCCAGAGACAAAGTTTCTCTTCCCTTTTACTCCCCTCTTATTAAGCCTTCAGTGGAAACTGAACTACCTAAGCACACATTCCCCTTGTAGGAAAAATTACTCACTGGCCATGACTCCTTTCACCAGCTGCATAACATTGATTCGCTACGAATTGCCTCCGTCCAGAAAAAGATTCTTAGAGAACACAGCGCATGCTCAAAAGGAGCCAGGGCTTCTAGGAAATGTAGTTCTTTTGGAGCATTTATTTCCTAATTTTTAGCTACAGCGTCTATAGTACTCCCACAAGCCCTTGCTCTTAATAGTGTTTCTGAGAATGATGGGAGTTGAAGTCCAGATCATTGGGCGGGTTCCAGATTCTCTCTCCTTGAAAAGGGGCTTTATTATTTCCTCCTTCCTTCCGCCGTCAGGGCTTTTATAGTATTGTGAAAATGTGTGAAAATCATAAAGCCCTATACTTCCTCATGGAAAACTGCCAAGAGGAATGATAAGCTTGCTGAATTTGTAATCATTAGCCCTGCAGAGGGAGAGCGGTCATGAATAACACTTAATCCGAGAAGCATATATGAGCTACAAAGATACAGACGGCATTTACAATAGAAACCTATTTTCTGCCATTTAGCAGCCATGTGGGATTTTGCAGCTCTCATATACTGAATACCACCTGAAGTAAAAGCCCCCAAGAATGACAAAATGGCAAGTGTAATTCAGTGCAAAGAGCTGCGTGTCTTGCTGTCTATAGAGACCAAATTTCACATATATTAATGGAACTTCAGCTGAGCAACCCATCATGGTTGGTAAGCTCAATGAAAATGTAAACCGAGAATGTGACTATTAAGAAAACATATTGAGCATGAAATGTTAAATAAAACTTCAAATATAATGATGCCCTTGTGTAAAAAGGAGTGAGATCGATTGGAATGCTGTATACTTCGGATCAATGTGTCTCAAATAGAGTATTGTTTTTGCACCTTTACCAAAAGTGGGGCGTAGCCAAAGTCAGAGAAACAATTCAAGAAAATGAAACGTTCTAATTTACAGTCAAAAATGAGTAAAGGGAGGTCATGATAGAGGTACGGTAAGTAAACTGCATGGTGTCAAGTGTGCAAAGTGTGGGGGGTTGCTTTATTTTTAGTCTTCCTCACAATCTACGCAAGAATGGTTCTAAGAGTTGCTTTGAGTGAGATAGGCAGCAAATAAAACAAAACAAGTAATAAAAGTGCTTCTTTAGAGTGTAGTGTTCGTATTAAAAAAATTAATCAACCAACGGGACCATCAAAGGGAGCCTCAACACATTTGTGGAGAATTAATATATGAAGTAATGGTTGTACGGAGCCAGAGATACTCTTTTTATGTTAACATTGTTGTAAAAATTAACATGTAAAACAATTTTATTAATAATGTGTGTTGAATTTCAATTTAAAGTTATAATACTGTAGGTTTTTAGTTTACTTTTTAGAATGGGTGCTGGCCTGTGTATTCCTGCCTAATCTGGAACCTTCCAAGTGTGTTGGATCAGAAATGACCAGGTTGTCTAAGTGGTGATGTTATTGGGCTGAGAATGGCCAAGATGAGGAATTAGACCTGCAAAAATGTGTTGTCTTAATTGTTTACTTTCTGTTCAATTGGCAACTCTGCTTCATGATGTGCAGCCTTAGGCATATTCTTTGTACCAATAATATTTCTCAGTTCAGCTAATTCTTGATTTACAAGAGTTCATTTGGTGACCATTCAAACTTACAATGGCACTTTGAAAAAGTGACTTATAACCATTTTTCACCCTCACAAGTATTGCAGCATCCCTCTGGTCACATGACCGAAATTCGGGTGCTTGGAAACTGGTTCAAATTTATGGCGGTTGCAGTGTCCCAGGATCAAATTATCTTCTGCAACCTTCTGATAAGCAAAGTCAATTGGGAAGACAGATTTACTTAACGATCATGTTACTAACTTAACTACAGTGATTCACTTAACAATTGTGGCAAGAATGGTTGTAAAATGGGGGAACTCACCAAATGTTTTGCTTAACAACATAAATTTTGGGCTCAATTATGGTCGTAAATTGAGGTCACCTTGTATTTTCTCCTAGGTAACTATCAGTGTAGGCCCCAGTGTATTAAAAGACCGTTGGCTTACCTGAATGGTCGTTCTCGGGGCACTGCGAGGAGAGTCCAATCGTGGGTTAACACAGCCTATCTGCCCTTGGACTGAGTGATGTTTTTCAGTTGACCACGCCTCCCTTTGCCTCTGCATGCTCAGTTTGAAAACGAAGGAGACAGTCCTTTAATCAGTTACAGTCAATACAGTCACATCGTATAAGAGAAGTAAACACCCCGGGCGGGTTTGGACTCTCCTCGCAGTGCCCGGAGAACGACCGTTCAGGTAAGCCAATGG